GTGCACTTAACCACTAAGCCACAGGGCCGGCCCTAAATGTATTTTCAACTTATGATATTTTCAACTTAACGATGGCTTTATCAGAATGTAACCCCGTTGTAAGTCGTGGAAGATCTGTATGTGCCTTGCAATGCAATGCAGCAGGAAGGACACATGACCACCTGAGAAGTCTTCTTGCCAAAAAATCAAACCTGAATGTCATCAAACTCTGGATCTAACTACCAGTTTACAGGAAATACAGGGGACAGAGGAACATGTTAAATAACACCACCAGGAAGCAATCAGCCAAATACTCCAGAATATGGTAAATTTCATAGACAAATGACCTGGTTCCTTTGACAAAGGACAAGGGAAAAAGGCAGAGGGAGAGAGGTCTACAAATTAAGAAAGACTTAAGAGACATATCAACCAAATGCAGTGTGTGGATTTGGTTTGGATCCTGATTTGAATGAATCAACTGTAAAAAAAGATTATGAGACAAGCAGGGAAATTTATACATTGACCAAATATCCAAATGGTGATAGTAAGGAATTACTATTATGTTTTTAGCTATGAAATAGTATTATCATTGTGTTAGAAGAAGAGTCCTTTTCTTTTAGAGATATATACTAAAGTGTTTATGGGCAAAATGATATGATCTCTGGAACTTGCCTTAAAATAATCCAGTGAGGGGGCCAGCCCAGTGGCATAGTGGTAAGTTCACATGCTCTGCTTTGGCAGCCTGGGGTTTGGATCCCAGGCACAGACCTACACACTGCTCATCAAGCCATGCTGTGGTGGTCCCATATACAAAATAGAGGAAGATTGGCACAGATGTTAGCCCAGGGACAATCTTCCTCAAGCAAAAAGAGGAAGATTGGCAACAGATGTTAGCTCAGGGCCAATCTTCCTCACCAAAAAAAAAATAAAATAAAATAATCCAATGAGGATGTGGTGGAGGTACAGATAAAGTATGATTGGAGGGTAGGTACTGGAGGTTCATTGCACTATTCCCTCTACTTCTGTTTATGTTTGGCAATTTCAATAATAAAAAAAGAGATTAAGCCCGTGTTACCTCCTCCCAGAAGCCCTCTCATTTTCCTCGGAGGGTTAGATCCCTCCTCTGAGCTTGTCAAGCCACCTAACATGCTAAACTGCAGTCCAGTGGTTTACCTCTCCCTCTTCAGAGCAGGGGCTTCCCTGGGTCCCCTCTGTCTCCCTGGGACATGGTTCCCAGCATGAATGAACGGATGACTCCTAGCCTTGGTTCATTTGTGGTCGAGCATCTTGATCTCCAACTAGCAGTTAAGTTCCTTTGATGGCAAAAGCCAGCCCTTTTATACAGGTTTGTTCGTTCTGCTGGGCTGAGGCAACGTAAAATCTCCAAAAGCGGATGACATTTGATTCTCGGTGACTGGGGTTGGGTGAGTTTCACCACTTGCTGGCTGGACTGACTTGCTCTGAGGAACTGACAGGACAGGTGCTACTTCCTATTTCAGAGTCCAGAGGCTTGTCTCTTTAGGCAAACGGAGCTCACACCCTGCTGAGGAAAGGAGGAAAAGCCGGACGAGCCAGTGCCTTGAATGAGTGGGAACGCCCCGTAATGGGACGAGAATTTCTGCTCAGGCACGTGGCTAAACCTAGTTAGGAAGCCTGCGGCGTGGATAACAGTTCCTGGAGGACCCGCGGCTCCCGAGAGGCGAGCCCTAAGGATGTGCGTGCTGAAGCTGCTGATCTTCCTGGCCCACTGGGCAGTCGCCAGGGCTGGACGAGGTAGGTGCTGCGAGTACCTGGCTGTCTTTGTTTTGTACTATGAACTCAGGATCTGGGAGCTGGAAGCTGCTCTCAGAAAGCTGACAGAGTGGCTAAAAATAGCAAGGCAGGGAGCTAGGGCAGGGAGGGTGAGATAGTGGGCGGTGGGGGTGCAGTTTGAGCCAGAAGATTTTAAGTGGGGGCAACAACTGGCCAGGGGCGGGACACGGACTTTGCTAAGAGGCGTGGGTACATGAGAGCCAGCCAGGTGGTAGAGGTAGAAGGTGGCAGGAGATTCACGGATTCATTCCACAAATATTGGCTAAGTGCCTTCTATGTACCGTGTGCTGTTCTAGGAACCAGAAAAGAAAAGAAAACAAAGCCACAGTCCTTGTGAAGCATTCTTTCACTTGGGAAGAAACAGACCAAAAGACACATGAACAAGTAACTACATAGTATTCCAGGAGATAACAAGTGTTACAGAGAATAATAAAGCAGAAAAAGGAGTCGGGAGTGTGGGGGAGGGGGTAATTATGGGGTGGCCAGAGAAGAGCTGTCTAATGAAGTGACATTTGAGTAGGGACCTGAAACAGTGAGGGAGAAAGCCACGTGGACGTCTAAGAGAAGAACATTCCATTAAGAGAGGATGGAAAGTGCACTGAGCTGGATGCACAGGTGATGTGTGAGAAGAGCAAGGAAGCAGGGGCCGGCCCCATGGCTTAGCGGTTAAGTGCGCACACTCCGCTACTGGTGGCCCGGGTTCGGATCCCGGGTGCACACCAATGCACCACTTATCCAGCCATGCTGAGGCGGCGTCCCACATACAGCAACTAGAAGGATGTGTAACTATGACATACAACTATCTACTGGGACTTTGGGGAGAAAAAGGGGGAGGATTGGCAATAGATGCTAGCTCAGAGCCAGTCTTCCTCAGCAAAAAGAGGAGGATTAGCATGGATGTTAGCTCAGGGCTGATCTTCCTCACACGCACACAAAAAAAGAGCAAGGAAGCAGAGTGGCTGGAGCAGAGCGGGCAAGGGAGGGAGGTAGAGATGAGGCCGGGGGATCACGGGGTGGGCGTGAGGGGCTGGTGCCAGCTCATGTATAAACTTGTAGACAATTTTAAGGACTCAGAGTGAAATGGGACATCATTAGAGTTTTTTTTTTTTAATATTTATTTATTTGTGTGTGTGTGTGTGTGTGTGAGAGGAAGATCAGCCCTGAGCTAACATCCGGTGCCAATCCTCCTCTTTTTGCTGAGGAAGACTGGCGCTGGGCTAACATCTGTGCCCATCTTCCCCTACATTATATGGGACGCCGCCACAGCATGGTTTGACAAGCGGTGCGTTGTCTGTGCCTGGGATCCGAACCTGTGAACCCCGGGCTGCCGAAGAGCAGTGTGTGAACTTAATCACTACGCCACCGGGCTGGCCCCATCATTAGAGGATTTTAGGCAGAGCTGTGATGTGATCTGATTTGCATAAGTTTAAAAGGACCCTTGGACAGCAACTAGAAGGATGTGCAGCTATGACATACAACTATCTACTGGGGCTTTGAGGGGAAAAAATAATAAATAAAATTATAAAAAAAAAAAAAAAAAGGACCCTTGGGCTGTTGTATTGAGAAGAGACTGTAGTGGGCTGAAGGCTGGGTGACCAGCTTGTCTTGGTTTGCCTGAGACTCTCCTAGTTTTAGCATTTAAATTTTGGTGCCCTGGGCACTCCCTCAGTCCTGGGCAAACTGGGATGGCTGGTCACCCTAGTAAAGGAGAAGCAACAGAACCAGCGAGGAGGCTGTTGCCATCAACCAGTGAGGGAGGATGGGGGCTCAGCCTGGAGTGCTAGGAGCGGAGGTGGTGGGAGACTGTCTGATTCTGGACAAGACTTGCTGACAGATGGTGGGTGTGAGAGAAGGGGAACTCAAAGTTGGCTCCAAGGTTTTCAGTCTCAACAACTAGAAGGGCGGAGCTGTCATCTGCTGAGATGTGGGAGGAAGCGACGGCAAGGATTTGGGATATGTCGAGTTTGAGACGCCTGTTAGATTTCTGTCTGATTGGAGAGGAGTCAGTGGGAGGGCTGGACGTGTAGTTTTCCTTAGGATTCTAGATTGCCCTTTTCTGAAGTCCTTTGAATGGGACCTTAGATATGATCCAACACCCTTTTGGTACAGGTGCAGAAACTGAGGCCGAGAGAGGGAAGGACTGGCCCAGGGTTCTGCTCGTTGCTTGCCCCTGTGGAGCTCAGTTTTCCCAGGCTGGAGTCCGAAGGGTTGGTGGCCTCTGATCAGTCCACTTTTTCAGACACTACCCAGGAGCAGCTGGGAGCCTTGGCAAATTGCTCTGCTGACGTGGCTGGGCATCTCAGAGGCCAGTGAGGAGAAGCATTGGAGGCAGGAAACCGGAGTGAAATGCCTGGGAAGGGCTTGGATCCAAAGCTGTGACTTAAAGGTGGAAATACCTCTGGGACAAGCCCTAAGAGGCCATGTCATTCCCTGTGAGGGCGTCTGCTTGGGAGAAGGCTGAGAGTGGCATTCCTCCTTCCACTTGGAGGCGGACACCCGGTTCCCCCTGGGGGACTTAGGGCTCTGCCAGTCTAACAGAGGCTGAGGAATGACTGAAAGAATCTTCCACACCCTCACTCTTTCAATTTAAATATATTTTCTTAGAAGTCCAAATGCCAGGGGGCACCCGTCAGCCCAGAGTCTTAATGGTTAAAAAGAATGTCTCCTCCCCCCAAATGCACTAAGATGTTCATTACGGCGTTGTTTATAATAACGGAAAATGCTAACAACAATGGAAGAGCTGAATAGATGATGGTAAAAATGCCTGGTGGAAAAGTTTCAAGACAATACAGCAAAATGGAAAACAATAAGTAACATTTATTAAATACTTATTATGTGCCAGGAACTGCTGAAATTTTTACATACTACCCTTACAACAGCCTTGTGAAATAGGGATTTTCACGGAAACCGAGCCTTAGAGAAGTTAAGTAACTAACCCAAGGTGACATAGCTAGTAAGTGTTTGAGTCTGGACGTAAACCCAGGCTGTACATGTCCATCTGCTTATAAAAGATGCTATGTAAAAATAAACACACACTAAGGAAAATAGCCAAGAAGAGCTAACATTTATTTATTGAGCACTTATAAGGGGCCACGCTTATACTAGGTGCTTGACATATGCTGTCCTTTAAAAACACATTTGTGAAATGAAGTAAAAACAATTCATTTGGTTTTTATAGTCCCTGTAAAGTAGGTACTATTACCATCATACCATCTTGCACATGAAGAAAATGAGACTCAGAGGGGGACACCACACTTGCCCAAGACCCCGCAGCTGGGAAATGGCAGGACCAAGCCTGAGCTCAGCTGCCTTATGCATCATGCCCCCTTTTTTTTTTTTTAAATAATTTTATTTATTTATTTATTTTCCCCAGAAAGCCCCAGTAGATAGTTGTACGTCATAGCTGCACATCCTTCTAGTTGCTGTATGTGGGACGAGGCCTCAGCATGGCCGGAGAAGCGGTGCGTCGGTGCGGCCCCGGGATCCCAACCCGGGCCGCCAGCAGCGGAGCACACGCACTTAACTGCTAAGCCACGGGGCCGGTCCGCATCATGCCCTTTGATGGGTCCTCTCTCGGGTTGGTGGGTTTTATAGGTTCTATGCTATTTTTTCCTCTCTTCTCCAAACATTCTGGAATGTGTACATCTATAATTTAAAAGTAAAATTAAATTTAAAAAGAATTCCACAGCACCTGTAAGTTTTTTCAGAATCCGAGTCTCTTCCTGAAGTGCAGAACGTTGAGACACCCAACCAGTTAGCAATCATCTCCGCTTTGCATAAAACTGGGGTTTCCACCTCTACCTTCCTTAGCCAAGAGCTTGGGTGGGGCCCTAACTTGCAGGTATGGTCTCCTCCCACACATGCCCCATGCCACGCTGCATTCTCCTGCAGTTTCTTCTTTTTTTTTTTGTGAGGAAGATCAGCCCTGAGCTAACATCCATTGCCAATCCTCCTCTTTTTGCTCAGGAAGATTGGCCCTGGGCTAACATCTGTGCCCACCTTCTTCCACTTTACATGGGACGCTGCCACAGCATGGCCTGATAAGCGGTGCATCGGTGCACGCCGGGGGTCCCAACCCGGGCCACCAGCAGCGGAGCATGCGCACTTAACCCCTACGCCACAGGGGGCCGGCCCCTCCTGCAGCTTCTAATTGCAGAGAGACAGACAAGTTCTTTCAGTGTGGGTTAGCAGAGAAGGAACACACTTCCCTCAAGAATGATAAGCCGACCTAGTGGAGCTGTTTTAAGGAGAGGGCAGGGGCCGGCCCAGTGGTGTAGTGGTTTAAGTTCATGCGCTCCGCTTCAGCAGCCAGGGGTTTGCAGGTTCAGATCCTGGGTGCAGACCTACGCCCACTTGTCAAGCCATGCTGTGGCAGCGTCCCACATACGAAGTAGAGGAAGATGGGCACAGATGTTAGCTCAGGGCCAGTCTTCCTCAGCAAAAAGAGGAGGCTTGGCACTGGATGTTAGCTCAGGGCTGATCTTCCTCACACACACAAAAAAGGGGAGGACAATTCATGCAGTTAACACAAGTCAGTAAATGTTGGCTTTAACAAGTGAACCCTCTGTGTTTTGCACGGCCTTAGTTTACAGAAGAGGAATTACAACGGAAGAGTTCAAGGTTATTGCTTAGCTTCAAAAACAAAGGACTGAACTAGGGACCAAGGTCATTTTGTGGTGTGAGTTATACACATAACAAACAAAAGACATGGAATCACAGGGCGTTAGAACTGGCAGGGCCTTCAGATAACCTTTCTGAAATACTCTCATCTTACACTCGAGGAAACAGAGGCTCCAGAAGAGAAGAAAAACTGAGGCCCGAGAGGCAGAGTGGCCCAGGGAATGAGCACTCAGGCTGGCTTGTCCACCCTGCAGCTAGGTGCTCCCTATGAGAGTACTCCTTTCATCCACACATCCACACTTTGCCACTGGCAGAGTTATCCCCATTTTACACATGAAGAA